TTGATTCAGGTAGTAGCGGCCTTTCTCTTTTGGCTCTTACCCCTTATACTTATCTCAGCCTGCCTTGCGGCTGGGGAGAAGTGCCCATTTTCTAACGGAATATCTTTGTCGGGGCCATTGCTGATGTCTTTAAACTCGGTGATCAATCCAATCGCAAGTATCATCCGCACACCGGACTTACGAAAGAGCCTCCGCGGAGACATGACAACAATCTACCAGGCACTAGTCACCATGGTACGGGGAAACCGCGTGAACCCACAGGAGGAACAAATTCCCCTAAATCAACGGGGCGGTACCGGGGCGGCTTCTGGGAGTAAACAGAGCATGCCAACAGGCCAGCCCGCTAAAGGACACAACGTGACTCCGTTAAACCGGGGTAGGGCAGGCAGTCTTGCCATTATAGAAATTGACTGAATTGATGAATGAAACTGCTCAGGAACCATATGAAATGTTGACCTCGTGTGGGAAATTGCAGAAAGTAAATGATTATCTCTATAACCTTAACTAGATGTGGTATGATACTGTTGTACCTGACTTTGAATCAACATAATGTAAATGTTAAATATGTTAAATACTTGGAGAGACGGAATGCGGAACGACCCCGCTGTTAGAACTTTGTGATACAGAACCGTGTTCTATGCGAATAGAACCGCGTTCTTTTGAGAACTGGCAGTTAGTTTTTAGTTGTTTTCAAGTGCTCACCAGTGGGAGGTGGTGCTGAGCACTGCTGGCCCGCCACCCTGAGGAAATACTGATTTAAAGGGCCGAAATTTCCATTGAAGGGTGGAATCAGCTGAGGATCCCACTGGTGAGGCCACGAGACCTTTATAGTCTTTGTGTGTATTTTTAAACTAAACTGTTATGACTATACAGTCAGTATGAAACATGTCAGTAGATGCAAAATGTACATAATACACATATTTATATACGGTTTGTTATTGATGTTTGCTAATTAGCAATAAAGATGATTAAAAAGAATTCAAATGCTCTCAGAGTGCTCTTGATGTATTTCTGCCAGAAATATAGTACAGGTCAAGCAAAACCATTTCTTTCAACGCCCATCTCCGTTTTATTTAGTAAGCTTTAATTGATTAGATTTGCATAAATTATGCTTATTGATGTTCACCTTCACTTAACTTCGTCTTTCGGAGTAATTATAATGTTCCTGCCTGACAAACGTCACCACGAATTCTCGCCACTTAATTGCAAATCTGTTGCCTCTGTTGTTGTCCTTGGGAAGAAATCACATCAAGTGAATTGCCGCTTGGCATTTTTCTAGCACAAGTTGACTTGACAGTCCTCATGGTAATTAATAATAGGCAGTGTCTTGCTTTACTTCGGTTATGATAGTTTTTATGTTGTTCGTGTCAGTGGTAGCCAGTGGTATATCACTTCATATACAGATTAAACATCGACAGCTGCATGTACAAGTAAATACTACTTAGCTATGACAGGTGAAACTTTAATGCTCAGTAATGTTTTGCCGGTTTGGGGATTAAATGAATTTGACATAATCTTACAAGAATGTAAATGGAGTATGTACGTACGGAACATGCATTTTTGATGGTCATGTGTTGATTGAAATTTTATAATTGAAAATTCCATATGCAATGGCAATAAACGAGTTTTGGGCGCCGAAGAATGCGTCTTTCTTTGTACTGTTTCTGAATAGATAAACGTCGACAACGAAGTCCTGCCACTTAATTGCAAATCTGTTGCCTCTGTTGTTGTCCTTGGGAACAAATCACATC